GTTTAAATGTTTTTGTAAAAATCACACAGCCTTTTGATATTACATTTATTTGTTTTTACTATACCAATTTATTTGCTTTTACTATACCAATATATTGCGTATATTGTATAACACATTTGCCAATATACGTTTTTGAAAAATGAGATAAAAAATTTAAAATAAATGAAAGGTGTAAAGATTTCTTCCTGCACTTTAATGGCTGTCTGATGATTGCTTTAGAGAGTGGTGCTAGGAGCATAGTGGGGAAGGGGCAGTTCCTGTCCTGTGTCCTCAGGGTCTCTAGGTGCCAGCCTTGGAGCCTAGCTCCTTCTAGCCAGGCAGGCAGTGGGCCAGCAGAGCTCAGTCATAATCATCCGCCACAGAGTTGCCAGACTGTGGCCTGCTGAAGTGGCCCTGCTCCATAACCTCCGCTTCTTCCCTGTCTCACACTGGGTGCGTCCAGAGCCCACAGCTGTGTGGGATGCTCACATAAGGCTCGGCAGCAACACCTTGAAAACTTGACTACAAGATTCTGATGACAGTGACCGGCAGGTATGTTCACTGATCAGTTTTAGCATCTGAGGCACTATCTAATGCAGAGAGAAAATATCTTAACTCTTACCCCAAAACTGGTTTGTTTTTCCAATAACTAACATGTAAAAGCTTTATGTTAGTGGCAACAGTACAAGGTATGATTATAAAGAAATGAGGCTAATGTTTATATACGTAAGTCTCTAAAACGTAGATATGTTATTTTATAGATACATTATCCTAATAATAACATCAGGTAATATTCATTGAGGTAAGCACTTTACATGTGTTACCTCATTTAGTCTTCGCAACAGCCTTGTAAATGTAGGACCTGTTAACCGTTCAGCAGATGCTTGAGTACCTTCTTGGTGGTGGAGCTGTGAGGGTGCAGTGTACGAGAAGACCAGGTCTCTGAGCTTGTGCGGCTTGCAGTGGAGTGGGGCACCAGACACACCCTAAGGGACCAGACATAGCAGAGTCATAATTATGGCGAGTAAACAAGGTTCTGTGTTAGAGAACTGCGGGGCACGATGGGCTTATGAGGAAATGCCTCTGCAAGGGACACTTGGCGTGTGGGGGGCGTGCAACCTTTGGTGGAAATAAGTCGATGCTCCTGGACAGTCCTTTGTGCATCAATTTCTGTCAGGAGTGTGTATTTAGGTGGACTTGTTCTTTTCCTAGGTAGGTCATAAAGCACATAGAGGGCAGAGTCTGTGTCTAATTCCTTCTTTTGTTCTTCACTACATGTAGCAGAAAATAGGTCCCAATAAATGTTACTTGCCATGAATTGGTACATAGATGGATGGATAAAAGATGTGTAAGGCATTACATCTTCCTGTAATGTTTTTGAGATGTCACTCAACAAACATTGACTATGTCTTGTGTGTAGAGCATCTTTAAGGGGATTTGAGGTTAGGAAATAGAAACAAACTTTGCCACTTGCCCTTTAAAGAGTTTGGAATACGGTCTGTAGAGCACATAGAACACCTGAGAGTTAGAAAAAGCCAACAGGGCAGGTTGAACAAGCAAGTGCTTATCGTGTCCAGGTTACCCCTTCACCCACATGAACCATGGAGTTTGTTGGGTCAGGCTTCCCAAGAACATGCTCCTGCACTGCTTAGGGTGGCTAGGCACGCAGATGGTGGGGGAGTCAGGGAGGAGGTTGCAGAGGGAGGTATGTTCAGAAGAAAGCCAGCTCAGCATTAGCAGAAAGCTGGGCTGCAGAGAAATACAGCTAGTGGAGAGGAAATTTGCTGACTTATCTTTTTCTCTAATGGCATCATGTAGAAACTTGGGATTTGGGTAAGTGGCTTGCAGTGCATGAGTCTTCTGTCCTCATATCCTGCTTCTTTCCTCACATAATAGTTGTCATAGTTCAAGAACTGTCTCAGAGCACTGACAGTGTGTGGCTCGGCTGCATGGTTCCATGGATGAACCATACTTTCCTCTGGCCTTGGCCGTGTCCGGCAGAGACTTGCAGACATAACATCATTAAATAGCAACATGTATTTTTACAAGATTTACCTATTCAACACCCCTACCCCCACCCCCTGGAAGTCACAGCTTCTTTAATGTCCTGCTGGTTATGTGAAAAACAGGACTTTATGTAATAAGCCCTGCACAGAAAACCTTTTCCTGTTCGAAAAAAAATTTTTTTTAATTGTTGGCAAAGTTAGGAGACAGTTCTGTTACTCCAAGAGCGAACTGAAATGTCCTCTTAGAAAAATATGTAGCATAATGTTTTGGTAAGTAAAGGATTGCTGTGGGACTTTTTTTTTTTCCCTAAGTCTAAGTAGTGAGTTAGTGTATGTCCCACCTGAGTTAGTGAATGCTTCCTGAATTTTTTAAAGATTTCATCATTATGTGTTCTTCAGTCTTGTTAAAAACGTTCCCCAATTGCAGATGATCTGATCTAATTATAAATGTTGTAGAGCTGTGCCACCTCCTCCTCCAGTCAGTGTAGACAGCCAGGAAGCTACTATCTAGGAAGATCATGCCCCTTTATCATTAACTAAATGTGACAGAGACAGGAGTCAGGCTTCCTGTCCTCTAGAGATTTCTTCATGTAGCTTATCTGTGTCCATTGTGTTTGAAGAACAAGGGATATTGTGCAAATGCCCAGACTTTCTGCGTATAGAACATGTTGCAGGGTCAGAGTACTCTCCTCCATTCCCATCTACTCCAGGCGCAGGCCTGCTTCTTTCAGGAGGAATTTGGGATGTGGTTTGCTGGTGTTGGTGGGCCCTGTAGATGAAGCTGTGCCCCTAGGAGCGAATGTGTAAAACCTTCCTATAGGATTTGAGGATTGTCGTGGGAATGAATTAGGACATTAGGGAAATGCAATACTCAGACTCTTTTTAGGGAGTCGTGTATGTACATAAAGTCTTTCTCAAACCCTGTCTTGAGTTTGGAACAGATCTATACGTGGGAAGGAAGAGGAAAGTCTTGGGAATAAAAGTAACGTCAGTGCCATCCACTCGACACACCTGCCCAGCATCCAGCCTGATGCACCCCCATTCAGGACCGTGTCTGACCTGTACTTTCTGTGTGCCCTGGCAGAAGAGCTTGTCACATAGCTGCTGTGTTGCAATTCTTGGGTGGAATGTAGTACAGAGGGTCAGAGGGCATTCTGCAATGTGTATTTCTCAGCATTAACTGTCCAGCCCCACTCTGACTTTTGCATCTCCTTTTTGAAAGTAAGATTTTTTTTCCCCTTGTTCTGTTTTCTACTTCCTTTTAATGAGAAAAAACTTGAGTTTATGGTTTATGTTGGAGCCCTGGCTTTGTCCTGCTATGCAATGGCTTTGTTCTGAGGCAGCGATTGGCATTCAAACATCTGTGTCCCACATCGATGACATGAGGATGTGGGCATTGTGGCTGCATCCCTCGGTGACCACAAATCCAGCCAGAGCCTTTTCGTGGTCAGGGAGAAGGGGCCACAGGGGTCAGGGGGGCTTGTCATCTGAGGCTTGCACCCAGTTGGCTGAGAAAGCCAAGGAAGTCTGGGGGCCATGCGCTCAGCCCTGTTCCCAGGGTTCTAGGACACCCAGAATCCCGCTCCTGGACCTAGGATGGAGCCCTGATGACAACTGCTGCTCAGTGAGCAGTGAGTGAGGGTCTCCTCTGTGCCCTGTTCTGTGTTGGGAACAAAAAGTGGTAAGATAGGGTCCCTCTGTCTTAGGAACCCGCTTTCCTTTTTTTATATGTTGTAGAGGCGCTCTGGATTTTGGCAGCTCGCTGTGTGTCCAGTAAGGGAGTCAAATTGGCACTTCCTTGTTTGTAGCCCAGCTTAACTGCTTCTGCTGGAGCTTGAGACTTTCTCAGGTCCCCTTCACTGAGTGTTTAGAGTTGTGGATTTGCATATAATACCTGTAAGCTTCTACTACACCCCAGTGAATAGGAGGGGAATGAGGCTTGGAATGGTGATATCTTGGGCCCCCAAAGTTGGGATCTGATACCTTCTTCCCAGTGACTTTACCATGTACCAGACACCACTGAGCATTTTACATACCGTATCTCATTTAATCCGCAAAACAGACCCAAGGGGCTATTATTTCTCTGTTTTACAGATAAGGAAACTTAAGATACATAGGGGCCAAGCAGTTTCATGAGGTTATATAACCAGTTATATACGTAGCACAGTTCAGTCGTGGAGCTGTACTTAGAGGGTGGAAGCCTCGAGGGCTTTGTACTCTCTACCCTTCATCCTTTCATCCCTTCCTCCCAGGTTGTCTTTTTGGATTGACAGTAACCTTTGATGCAGTGTCCTTGGGTTAGTTGGTGCATACTATTGGTTATTTTGCGGGGGAGGGAGTGGCAAATAATACTTGCGTTTAAGTTTTTCTTCCTTTTTTCAGGGGTAGGGGCAGTTAAACTTTCTAAAATTAAAAAAAAAAACCAAAAAACCCAGTTTTTCTAATATTCACCTCTATTTGCCTAATGGACTTTAAGGGTCCAAATGAATGTAAGTTTTACTAGTTTCCAGGCTTTTAATTCTTGACTAAGAATATATGCTGTTTCATTTCTTTATTTTCCATAATCAGGTGGGCCCAGTAATATAAAACTTCTCATGAATGTAAATCTGAAGAGAATTGGCAGTTGTTTTAGGGGTGGTAGAATGGAAAGAGTTTTTGATAGCACTTTGTTACAGAGTACTATTTGCATAGCACTGTAACTAAACAAAATTTAAGTGGTTTTAAAACCAGTTCCTGTAATTTCCCTATGAAATATAGCTATGTGAAAGGAGATGTTTGTAATAATGCGTATTTAATTTATCCCCTCATTAAATTAAGATTCAGATACTATTATAGTATTTTTAAGATAAGGTATTATTTTTCTAGTACACGTTTGAGCTCTTTTGGATCGAGGTTCAGAAACCACTGTGACTTCTGGTTGAAATCTGTACTTACATGTGATGCATATCTCTATTGATTAGTAAGTTTTCCAATTGGAGAATTACTGTATTTCTGACATGATGTTTTGTTTTACAGAATTCAATCCGTCATAATCTGTCTCTACACAGCAAGTTCATTCGTGTGCAGAATGAAGGAACTGGAAAAAGTTCTTGGTGGATGCTTAATCCAGAGGGAGGCAAGAGTGGAAAATCCCCCAGGAGAAGAGCTGCGTCCATGGACAACAACAGTAAATTTTCTAAGAGCCGAGGTCGAGCTGCCAAGAAAAAAGCATCCCTCCAGTCTGGGCAGGAGGGTGCAGGGGACAGCCCGGGGTCTCAGTTCTCTAAATGGCCTGCCAGCCCTGGCTCTCACAGCAATGATGACTTTGATAACTGGAGTACATTTCGCCCTCGAACTAGCTCAAATGCTAGTACTATTAGTGGGAGACTCTCTCCCATTATGACCGAACAGGATGATCTAGGAGACGGGGATGTGCATTCTATGGTGTACCCACCATCCGCTGCAAAGATGGCTTCCACTCTCCCCAGTCTGTCTGAGATAAGCAATCCTGAAAACATGGAAAACCTTTTGGATAATCTCAACCTTCTCTCATCACCAACGTCATTAAATGTTTCAACTCAGTCTTCACCTGGCACCATGATGCAGCAGACACCATGCTACTCGTTCGCGCCGCCAAACACCAGTCTGAATTCACCCAGTCCAAACTTCCAAAAATATACCTACGGCCAATCTAGCATGAGTCCTTTGCCCCAGATGTCAATGCAAACTCTTCAGGACAACAAATCGAGCTATGGAGGTATGAATCAGTATAACTGCGCACCAGGACTCTTGAAGGAGTTACTTACTTCTGACTCTCCTCCCCACAATGACATTATGACACCAGTTGATCCTGGGGTGGCCCAACCCAACAGCCGGGTCCTTGGCCAGAATGTGTTGATGGGCCCTAATTCGGTCATGTCAACCTATGGCAGCCAGGCGTCTCATAACAAAATGATGAGTCCTAGCTCCCACCCCCACCCTGGACACGCTCAGCCCACATCTGCAGTTAATGGGCGTGCCCTGCCCCACGCAGTAAGCACCATACCCCACAGTGCGAGTATGAACCGCCTGGCCCAGGTGAAGACAGCTGTACAAGTGCCTCTGCCCCACCCCATGCAGATGAACACTCTTGGGGGCTACTCCTCGGTCAGCAGCTGCAATGGCTATGGCAGGGTGGGCATTCTCCACCAGGAGAAGCTCCCCAGTGACTTGGACGGCATGTTTATCGAGCGCCTGGACTGCGACATGGAGTCCATCATTCGGAATGATCTCATGGATGGAGATACTTTGGATTTTAATTTTGACAATGTGTTGCCCAACCAAAGCTTCCCTCACAGTGTCAAGACGACGACACATAGCTGGGTGTCAGGCTAAGAGTAAGTTAGTGAGCAGGTAAGATCACCCCAATATCAAAAAGGCCTTCTGAGAACTGAACTTAGAGGAACACTGAAACTTGCCATTTATCTTCCATGGTTAGGACTTTTTTGATGTCAGCTGGTTGCCCCTTGCAGAGAGGCATCTTTTATCATTCATTCTTCACCCTTTTTACAGTTTATAAAGTTTCTTTTTGAGCTTAAACACGGAAGCTTTCTCCAACTGCTTTAAATATTTTCTTTTGACTATTATATGGTTGCATCTTTTTAGTAGCTCTTCAATAAATGAATACATTTGATACAAATCAAATGCTGAAGGGCTTTTTAAAGTGGAATTTTCCCACATTCAGTGATTTCAGAACTGTTGGAGAAAGCTCTCGTTCCCCTCTCCCCCCAACTATGTCTGTCACTCTGATGTGTTAAGTTGAATTGATTTTAATTTGGCTATATTTTTATTGTGCGTATTTTTTTTCTAGGCTATCCTTAAGAGTACTTCAGATTGTCTGACAGCAGGAACTGAGAGAAGTCCAAAGATGTCCTTCACTCCACCTTTTCATTTTCTTGATTAAAAAAAAAAAAAAAAAAAAAAAAAAAAAAAAAAAAAAAAAAAAAAAAAAAAAAAAAAAAAAAAAAAAAAAAAAAAAAAAAAAAAACATAATGAAAAAACGTTTCTTTTTTCCTTTCGTCAGACTTGGCAGCGAAGACACTTTTCCTGTACAGGATGTTTGCTCTGTGTTTGCAGGTTATGTGCTGCTGTAGATAAGGACTGTGCCATTGGAAATTTCATTACAATCAAGTGCCAAACTCACTACACCATATAACTGCAGAAAAGACTTTCGGATCCTGGTGTGCTTTCAAGTTTTGTATATAAGCAGTAGCTACAGAATTGTATTTGTGTATGTTTTGTTTTTTAAATATCCATTTGGTCCAAGGAAAGTTTATACTCTTTTTGTAATACTGTGATGGTCTCATGTCCTTAATAAGTTAAACTTTCGTTTGTACTACCTGTGTTCTGCTGAACTGACGAATCACCAAGAACCAAGCTCTCCATTCTGAACCTCCATTGAACAGCTTTGGACCTGTTCATGTTGCCACATAATTCACATGAGAACCAATAGCCTGTTATCAATCTGCTGAATTAATGGACTTGTCAAACTCTTGGGAAAAAAAAAAAGATTAAACGCCAGCCTTGTACAGGTCTTTTCTATTTTTTCGTTTATTTTATTATTTGCAAATTTGTACAAACATATAAATGGTTCTGATTTCCAGATAAATGATTTTTGATGTTATTGATGGGACTTGATCTTTTTGGAATAGATACTGAACTGTAATGTTTTCTTAAAACTAGAGTCTACTTTGTTACAGTATGCTTGTAAATTTGTGGAATCTCAGATATTTGAGACAGCATCCATAATTATCATTTTGTATTCTAACTGGATTAGTACTAATTTTGTACGTGCTTAACTGGTTTGTACACTTTGGGATGCTACTTGGTAATGTTTCTGACTAATCTTAAAATCATTGTAATTAGTACTTACATATTCAACATTTCTGGCCCTACTTTGGCAGGAGAGTGATGTATAGTTATAGACATTTTGCGTTTCATGTTTAAGAGAACTTGATATGTTTTCATGTGTTTTAAAGAAATTTTATCTGCTTCTGTTACCCTGTGAGCTAAGCATAATGCACAGCGTTGAGTCTTCTGATAGATACCTGTCCACTCGTCATGGCATTTGCTCCTGGTTGGCCTTGCAGTGTTCGTAGATCAGGAAGGGAGGTCTGTGTCTACAACAGTGTTCCTTTTCAAACTGGGGGTTTTGATCAGCAACCATTTTGAGTTGAGCTTCAGCAAAAGTTTTCCTTCATAATTCTGTGCTCTTATTTTGGTCTAGGTAGAGGTTGGTTTTGTAGTTCTGCCTTGAAGGATTATGTCAGCACTCACACTTCGTCCCTCTTTCCTTTTTGTTCTGCAGATTACTTAGCACATTATGGAAAGTAAGTCAAAGTGGGGGGAATTTTAAAATGGGACTTAGTGATTTGTAGAATGCTTTGTGTTCACTAGTACAGATGGCGACCAAATGGAGCAGAACTTGTTTAAAAATTGGGGCAATTAATTTGAAAATCAACAAACCAGCTCTAAGTTGTGTATTTGAATTTGTTTTGAACGCCTTTGCATAAGTTAAGGATTTCTTTAGCCTTTAGCAACCTAAACTGTAATTCAGATCATTGTGTTTTAATATTTTCCAATTACCTATAACTGACAGACCAAGTTAATTGGCTTTGTGTCCCACTTAATGCATTGGTATTTTCAAGTAGTGGAATGCCGGAAGTCAGCACAATAAAAGGAACAGGTGCACAAAAATGTTCCTCGTGCCTTCTTGAGAAGGCTCTGATTTCTATGTATGTAGCTTATATCATGTTTGCTTCGTCTTGCCTGTGAATCGCAGCCCTGTTGGCTTGGTTTTTCCTACATGTTTTATAAGAACCCAAGTGTTCCTGATAGATGTCCTACAGGAGGCCAGCTCTATGGTAAGTTTCCCACTGTAACTTCCACTGTTTTAAAAATTCCTTAAACAACCACTTCTCTAACCATCTTCATTGTTGGCCACTCCAGAATCTGTCTGGTTTTAGAAATCCCAGTCCCTGTAAGCAGCGCCTCCTGCGTGTGGACTGGAGCTTGCTGGCGCAGAGTACTCGTCCCCCATTGCCACGGACCGCCACGTGCCAGTGCACGCGAGCCTCAGAGCCCCCATTTGTTCGTCAAAGAGACAGCTTAGCTGACATCACTGTTAAAATACTACTTCATAGAGTGACTTTAAAAAAATGTTTCTTCCTTGAGTCTATGTAAATATCTTTTTTTTTTTCCTTTCAAATTTTTCTGTGTTGAAATTCTAACATGGATCCCTGGGTAGCTAGCTCTCTGGGGTACAGTGAACTCCATTGAAAGGCACCTTGTCTATTTTGAAAACATTATGTGACCTCTGGTAATTCTTTCTCTGTACGAATACTGACTTTCTGAAGTAATTAGTATATCAGTTATTGTACATGATTGCTTTGTGAAATGTGCAAATGATATCACCTATGCAGCCTTGTTTGATTTGTTTCCTCTGGTTTGTACTTTTATTAAAAGCATATTGTATTATAGAGCTATTCAGATATTCTAAGTATAAAGTATTGTTTCTGTAATATAGACGTATGGAATATATTTAGGTAATAGACGCATTACTTGGAAAGTTCTGCTTTCACAGACTGACAGAAGTCTAAAATAATTAGCAAATGTTATAACGCAGCGAGCAGTAAATCCATGGAACAGCCCAAGAAGAGAAGGACACTTGAAATAGAAACAGTTCTCTGAAGGTATACAGTTTGGATGTGTTCAACTGCTGGACATATGTGTCCGTTTCTCCCTGGTCCCGCACCCCGCCCCTCTGAAATTCTTATATTCAGCCTTTAAGAGTTCTTAATTTATAATTGACTTTTAAGTAAGAAGTTTCTCTTGCGATTTTAGTTTGGTAGTGATCATTCAGTAAAAAATGCATTGTGGTTTATGCAAACAAAACTACGGCATGACTTTTGGCCCCCTCCTTGATGCAGTGTGCAGCCTGGCAGTGTGGCTAGCTGTGGCCACCTGAGTCTTGTGAGGACATAGTCACACACCCTCCCACATTTCATTACTCGAGTTTAGTAACAGTGCAGGTTCCATGTTCGTGTTCCAATACTCTGAGAAGTGCCTGATGATGCCGATGTACTTACAGACACATGAACAATCTTTGCTATTATTGTATAAAGCCATAAATGTACATAAATTATGTTTAAATGGTTTGGTGTCTTTCTTTTCTCATTGTGCAGAATAAGGTTTTCATTAGGTTATTCGTTTGTTTGTTTAGCTATCACTTCAGTTAGACGTCGTTAGTCATAGTGCCATCCTTTATTCAAATCTGGTATTTCCTTTGGGGGGTGGTGGGGTGAGCAGTCTCTCTGACCAGCTGTAGCTTCCTAGAGTTAAGAACAAGTAAAAACCCCTGATAACAAACAACCCTGGAGTGTAGCTACTTCATCTTCAGAATGTCTGAAACCACAGCCCTGTACAGTAATTCCTTGGCAATTCAGTTTCAGGTCAGAGCAGACCAGGCGGAAGGTAAAAGCACCTGAGGGGCTGGTTAGGATGGTCCCAGCTAGGAGGTCACTGACAGAGGCTCTGGGTAGTGGGGAGGAGCAGTGGCTTTCCAAGGCTGTGTGTGCTGCTGTCACCACTGCCTACACTTTGCTGAAAGAGGAGCATTGCATCCTCCTCTAAGTGGCTGCAGATCGGAGGTTTATATGTTTGTGTTATTCAGAAAACGCCCTGAGGAATGAGCTAGGATTAAGTTCATGATGATTAAAATGCATTTTTAAACCAGAACGAAGGCCAGTCTCTTTGCTTCTGATTCTTTTACCAGACAGGTGAATGTCCAAATGAGTCAGAGTAACAACAAGGAAATAGGTTATTCTGATGTTTATCTGTTTAGGTCAGTCCAGCTTTCAGGTTTTTTTTTTTTTTTTTTTTTTTCTTCCTTCTAGCAATGGAATCTTTTCTTTAAAGGACATGGTAGTCAGAAGCCCAGAGTTTAGAACTGATAAAACCATCTTCTCCCAGACCCTGGGATTCATGCCCAAATCATTTTGAAAACTGCTAATCTAGTCCAAATGCAGAAAAACACCTTGATTGTACCAACAGAACTGTAACCAGTAGGCCCCTTTTACAACCCTCTGCAGGTACACAAAATGACACATCTAATATTTAATGAGACCAGTCCCCAGGTTTTATATCATGATAAGAGGAAGCAACACAGCAAGAAGATTTCTCTTGCTGTGGTAGGGCCCATGGGTGGAGATTGGGAGGGAGAGACTGACTTCGGTGAACAATATCTAGGCCCCTGCGTTGACCAGAGAGCCGGGGGTTAGAATCCAGATGTGTACCCAGGGTTGTTTCATGACCTGTGAACCAGCCACACTGAAGGACTGCCTTGACCATTGTTCCTCCATGTTTGAGCTGACCTCTAGCAATGTTGGTGCCAATTAGACTGGTTGGCGTGGCCAAGTGAGGGGAAGTCTGTTCCAAGAGATACATCACACTAAGGGACAGTTGAAGTCACTGTCACATACACATTGAACCTTTATCATGTTAGTGTTCCTTACAGGGCCATGAGCCTGCAGCCTGGCAGAGCCTCTTAGATGAGGGTGTGTTTCTAGTCAGTTTCCTCATTCTAATTTGCTGTTTCATTATTGGTGTAAAAAAATTAGACTGGCCATTACTTAAACACATGGACTCTAGGATATTTTCCAGTTTAAGTAACTGGCAAGTGAGTGAAGTTTCTGTAGAATGGAAAAGGAGGTGTATGCTGGCATGGAGAAAGGAGGAAGGCAGGCAGCCATGGGTGGTGATAGGAAACCAGATGTGAAGTGGAGGCAGCTGAGGTGTGAGCTCAAAGTCTTTGGGTCCTTTGACTGGAGGAAGCTACAGAGTGGCATGGGCATATAGAAGTTAAAAATAAAACTTAGAAGTTTTTGCAGGTGGCTGGGAGAGACGGCCCTCTGAGCAGACCCCTCGCTTTG